GAAGAAATAAATTATTATTTCGATACAATTTGAAAGAAAATTTTTTGCAGATAGATATCATTTAAGATTAATCCTTATATTGAAAGAAAATAAGAAATATTAGTTTTATATCTAGTTTGAAAGTTTGCAAGAGGCTTATTTATGATAATTCTCACGAGTAAGAATCATTTTATATTTTAATTTAAAGTTTGAAAGAAGTTTTGATTAAAGGGAACAAACAAAATACCATAAAAATTTATGTGTGTATAAATATAAAAAATAATCAAGATAAGAAATAATATATATATTAGAAGAAAATAATAAATTGAATAACACTCCACTCCTTAATTTTTTTCCCCCTTTAAGATACTTCCAGATATCGATTCAACTTGATTTAACGATACCCTTGTGAATTGTATTACTTAAACGTTAAAAAAGGAAGCACAGAATCACGAGGAGAAATAAAGAGGAGGCAAAAAGAAGAGAGATTGTTCAATCATGAACTCTAATCAACTGGTTAAATGCAGTCATCCAATGAACTAGGTCGAATTAAAACTTTGTTGTATCGTAGCCACAGGAGCTTAATAACAGATTGAATTTGTCCTGTTTTAACGAGAACTCTAAGCCTATGATATATTCAAACAAACAGTGAAATGCAGCACAAAATTTTTAAGTTGATTTAAAAACGATACAGAAAATTATTCCATAATTAATATTTATCTATAATACGTTTACATTACTCTGTAATTGTACTAAAGAAAACATATATACGTGAAAATAAAATATTGTTTAAAAAAATTTTAAATAAATTTTTGTAAGATAAAAAATATTAATAATTAAAAAAATTGTATTAACGTTAAAAATTAATTTTGATTGTTAAAACGTTTTATTTCGTTAGACTCGTAACTGCAATTGGAGACGCCTATGGTGTAGCTTTGCTGCTGCACATGTTGACTACCACTATTACGTTAACTTTGCTCGCTTACCAAGCAACAAAGGTAATTTTTATATACATAAAGTATCGAGATACAAAGTAACATATATCACAAAATTAGAAATTTCTATTATTCTAAATGTCAATATTAACAAAGAGAATTTAATATTTTATCTTTTAGATACACGCAGTAGATACGTACGCAGCATCAGTAGTAGGTTATTTGCTGTATTCTCTAGGACAAGTATTTATGCTTTGTATATTTGGAAATCGTCTCATTGAAGAGGTATGTATATACGATTATTTTTACAATTTTTAATCAAGTGAAAAACAATTATTTAATAGTTTAAAAATTATAATAAAATTTAAAATTGTATTCCATATATAGAGCTCGTCAGTGATGGAAGCAGCTTATTCTTGCCACTGGTATGATGGATCAGAGGAGGCCAAAACCTTTGTACAGATTGTCTGTCAGCAGTGTCAGAAGGCGATGTCGATTTCAGGGGCGAAGTTCTTCACTGTATCTTTGGATCTCTTCGCTTCGGTAAACGAAAAATCTTTCTTTCACGCATTAAATTCATGTTATATAATTATAGCTATTCAACAAATTTCAATTTTTGGATAAAACTCGGTATTTATTTAAAATATCGTTATAGAATACGATAATGTAATTACTTATTATTAATCAAGACTCCGGAATATTTAAAATTCCCTAGAATATCCCTAAAATATAAAATCCTAGATATTTTTAAGAAATTTTCAAATTCTTGATACTTTAGATTCTCATACGTTTTGATAATTACGTAATAATTACGTAAAAACTTCCTAGAAAATCTTTAAAATATAAAATCCTGGATATTCTTTCAAATCTTGTAAATATGCAACAAGAAATTTAAAACTTGATGATCTTTTTTATTTGCGATTCATAGATTAGAAATCACTGATCTAAAATATAATTGAAGAATTCAATTGAATTATAAATAATTTTCTCAATTTTTGTTTATAATGATTGATTAATAAAAATAATTAATAATTCTCTAGGTGTTGGGAGCTATGGTTACTTACTTCATGGTGTTGGTGCAACTGAAGTGAACGTTGAAGAATATTCACTTTAGGATTGAAAGTTGGAATGATAATGATCGAATGCATGATCGAAATGATCGAACAGGAGTCTCGTTCTTCATGTCTCATTATTTTAAATGTTCGATTTTTCTATGGATTCAGCTGGAAACTGTGACTAAATGACAATGTAGAATTATAAATTCTAACGATGAGTATCCTTTGTTTTTATCTATTTTTCAATAATTGAAACCTTTGCAATACATCTAGTTCTAATGGAAAATTTTGAATAATTATAAGTCGATAAATACTTATTTATACATTCTGACAATAAAAATTATTTAAACACAAAGGATACTCTAAAAATTATAGATATTAAGTGTAAAATGAAGCTGTGCTCATTAACTTTTTCTTTATCACTTTACTAAGTAATATTAGTATTTAATATAAAATATTAATTATTACAATAACATGTTATATATTAAAAAAAAGAAAATAGAAATTTTATTGTCTTATAATTTTAATTTTAAAACTAGAAAAATAATTTTTTTTTAAATTTTATTTCTGAAAAAAAATAAAAGAGTAAATAGAAAAGAGCGAAATTAGGATATATTTATATTATTATTGAAGCAAATATTTAAATAAAAAAAAATTCTAATCAAACATAGATATTTTTAAATAAAAGACTGAAAAGTACAAATGAATGAATTAATAAAAATTAGTGATAATAAAAAAAGAAAACAGATTCTGGTAACATTTAAAAAATAAAATTTTCGTGCAATCTTTATGGTAAATTCACTCATTCGCTCCATTTTCTTCTTTAATTGTGAATTATTATCTAGAAAACTCATATTACTGTTGTCAGAACTATTTTAATTCTACTTTCTGTAGAAAAGAAAATCTAAATTATTATAAAAATACTTTTTTATAATAATCGCAATACAAATTTTAATACCAAATTAATCTCTTTCTTCTTCGCACATATTGAATTATTTTATCTCTAAAAATAACGTAATCAACAATATTAAATTAATCACATCTCAATAGGTATTTATTAAATTCTCCTAGGTCAATGGATTAATAATTACCCATAATCTATGTTTTATCGATGAAAAGCGAAGCTTATTAATCGAATAAGCAAGATCAATGATAATACGATGAATCGAAGCGTAAAATAATGATTCGTTCAGCTGATGTGAGTAAAAGTTTAATCATCTCAAAAATCAATATATTCTAAAGTGAGTTTTTTTTCTTACATTTTTGATTATTTCGTATATCTTTTAATAATTTTACCTCTTTTTCTTAGAAAGGAAAGTTAGAATTAGAAAAGGTTAGAAATTTATAATCTAATATTTTCAAAAAATTAATTTTTAGCACCGAAGAAATAAAAGGGAAATAAGAATATAAAGAACAAGTATTTTTTACGAATATTAGTAGCTTTAAGTTGGAAATTAAAAAATAATATTTGTAATATGTGTAATAAGTTTTAAAGTGAGGTTAGGTTTAGTATAAGCTGCACTCAATGCAAAAAAAAATCGAATGGGGAAATATTACGCTGAAAAATAATCTTGTAATATGCTGTGATGCAATTGCTGAAAGGATAAAGATGCAAGAAGCGATAATTATTTAATAAATTATCATATTACAAAATATTCTGAATCATCGAATGATAATTAAAACTTGCGTCTTGATTTTTTGAAGTAATTTTAATAGAAATGATAAAATAATTTTATTGACATGTAAATATTTGTACACTATTATTTTTTATTTTAACGATATTACTTCTTCGAATTTATTATATTTATAATTCGAAATCTCTTTTTTACTTCAATTTTTCGAATTTAATATCTCAATGCTTTATCATATTGTTCGTTTAATTTATGGAACGATTCTTGCAAATTTTTTTTCTTTTATTCCTTTCGTATATCAATTTCTGTTAATTACAAATTTATAGAAAATTTCAACGAAATCGTAAAATTGTTCGTCTCGTTTCTTTGTATCATAGAATTTAAGGTTTCATCTACTTGTGCACGGCATCTCCTCTCCGCCATTAATTAATAAATATATACAAATTTTCTAGCACAAATATTTCATATTTCACGAGAAACAAATGAAACATAATTTTTTTCTAAGCATAGTCTACGAGAATGTAATAATTTTATTACAATTTTAATAATGATATGTTATAAATAAATAAATATTATTGTACAATTTTAACATAATTTTTGTGCTAGTCGTAAATATATGGAATAATTTATTTCCACGTGTAATTTTAAGCAATAAAAAAAACAATGTTATCGAAATGCGTTTAATTTAACATGAACGTTAATAGATACTATAATCATATTGTGAATCGAATCAGTCAGTATTATAAATGATTTCTCTCTATGTAAAGCTACAATATATTTGTCTTATAAAATGTTCCAAGATCGTTCGTTCTTTTCTTGCAAAATACTTTTATATTACCAACAAATTATACATTCATATATTCATAAAAAGTTTAATTTTATAATTTATAAAACGTCAAAAGAAAATTTTCAACTTTTTGAAATTTTTTTAACAAAATCCTTCTTTATTTCTCTTTTCCAAAACTTTAAAAATTTCATCCGCAAATATATTCTAAAAAATTCCAATTTTTATTTCATTTTCCCCTAACTTCCAAAATCTTTTCCTCTCGATCCATCTATTTAATTTCCTTCTCTCCAAATATATTTTTCTTCGAAATCTCGAATTCTTCACAAATCCATCACATCCCCATACCAAACCAATCCTCCATCGACCATCCATCTAAAAATCTCAATCCCTCGTCTTTAAAACCTTCACCCCAACCTCCTCCATAAAACATACCCACTGTTTTCGCCTCGATGTCGAATCTCCTTTCGAAAATCAACGGAACCGTATTTATTCCCACTCGACTTTCTCGCCACGTTCACGAACACGATTCGTCTCTGTCCTCTGCGAGGTAATGAACTTACAGTGAATATGATTTGGGAAAAGGTACGTAAGGTAATCCTTCGCAAGGAAACAGTCGCTTTAAAAACCAAATTTTCTCGAATTTCGCAATCCGGATCTCGAATCCGGACAATCAGGCCAAAGGTGTGTCTATATAACGATGGTTAATCGAGATGAACTACAACCACGGATGCAACGGAATTAATCCCTGGAGAATTCTATCCTTTAGAGGCGGCCAGCGTGAATTTTACCTGCAATGGAATTTTCAATGGAAATATACGATGTAAAGTGTTAAAATTTACGGATATAACAGTGATTATTGTGAAATTTATCTGCTTTTTTTATCGAGCGAAAATTTGGTACTATCGTAGAAATGAATTATTGGCTTCTATTTTTTTTATCCTATAACTGATAGAAATGGAGATAACATATATAGCTTGAATGAAATTTTTCACAGAGATAGTTTTTTTTAAAGAGAAAGGATTAATGTTTAATGTTCATCCAGTTAATGTTTAAAAATAATCTTAATGAAGGAATGTAATATATAAAATATATAAAAATAAATATATGGAGAATTCATTAAAAAGCTTGTGAATGAATGAATGAATTCATAAAGATATATTTTTAATTATTCAAAATATCTATGTATTTATATATTTTTACATCTAGGTATTTTTTTATATATATTTGTGAAAAATGAACGTATAAAACAATTTTGAAAAACGCATCCATTTCTTATACACCATGTCGATAACAATTGATGTAAAGTTTAGATAACTAAGAAGTAAATTCTGAATTTAGTCTGTTATTGGATGATAAATGATCCTTTCTTATAGTCCAATAATATATTTTACAAAGACATATTTAACAATAATTTATAAAATAAATTATTCACTGATAATTTCTAAAACATATAAAAATTTAAATATAAAACAATTATATAAATTATATAAATTATATAAATTATATAAATATAAAACAATTATAAATATTTATAATTATTCTATAAAATTTGTTTTATTAATTAAACTATTATTTTTACTTTTAATCGAATAAAAATTTTTATTACATATGTAAATATTTAGAATTATACAATTTTGCAAATGTTAAAAATTATGTAATATATTTATATTATACAATTCATTGATTTTAAATAAAAGATAAAAAGATTTTGCACTTAAAAGATTAGGAATAAGAAAATTTATCTTGGAGAAACTTGGATATTAAAAATAGAAGAAACAGGTGAATCGATACGACTTTATTGTTTAACATAAATCCTTACGTGATTGTTTAATGCGCATGCTCATTCGGAGTGTGGCTTTACCGGAAAGCAGTTTCGATCGGCTGGGCCTCGTCGTATGATAAATAGGTCTTCCTGTTCTACAGCATCCTTCTTTTCCTTAAACATAAGATATATATAAATAGCAGCTATCCAGTTTGGAGATATCACAGGAAACGGAATTAAACTTGAGATGAACTTTGGAAGTGTTATTCTAGAAGAATCATTAAAGATAAAAATCAAGTTTTCATTTTTCTAAAATCTTTAAACTCCTAAAATCTCAAACTTAATGTATTTAATATATTTAAATTTAACATGTTAAATAAATTTTTATAAATTTTTTATCTTCTATTTTTTATTTTAATTTTTAATATATTTTAATTTATTTTTTTTTATTTTTATACATTTTAATTTTGTAGAAAATTCCATATATATATTTTAACATATAACTGTTTAGCACGTTATATAGCTATTACATAGTAAAGTTTACATTAAATCACAGTATTCACAAATACCACTTATAGTTACGACAAAATTAAATGCAAATGGCGGAGAATTAAGAACGTAGTTCAGAACTTTTACGACAATAAATTCATTCTCGTGGAAAGATATAGCTGCAAGAATATAGTAGACTGTAGTGTCTTCCGAATCATTAAGATTCAACCCAAGAGAATACGAGTATGGAAACATAAAAGGTTATGAGCAACAACTTCGCTTATTTCAATAAATAAAATGCACATTTTACTTCAAATAAAGCAGCTACATATTCATCCAAAACATTTATTTAAAATTTATAATATTAATTAAAATTTTAAATAAAATATAAATTCTTCTATAAGTTTAATAAAATCCTATTGATATATTCTTCAATGATAAAATACATATTCCACTCTTAATCTTTAGAAAATCACAAATAAAATTACGAAAAAAGAGAATATTATTAGAGAAATATTATCACAAGCAAGCAAAATCTCAGGAGTCAATGTGACGGAAAGAAATTGGCGCGAAGTCCAATTGACGCATGCGCAGAATCAGAGTGACTCCGTCGGTAGTTTCGATCGTCCAGGGGTCGACATCGTCGTCCACCAAACAGCTTATCCTCGTGCTCTCGTGGTGCAGCTGGTGCTTCTCCGTTTTCCAACTCGTTCTTTCGTTTTGTGATAGAACGAGTTCTATTTTCCGCGCGATCGCGACTCATAATAATCTAGTCGATCAAGAACGAAACGTGATTCACGATAATTCCATCGCGATAACGCGAAACAACGAGTTAAAATACATCTGCGTTTCGCACGAGACACGTCTACAGATGAAAACGCACGAGATGCCCCCCAGACCAGTGGACTCGCTCGACTCGCACTCTATCGACACGATTCAACGTGATAACTTATGCAGATTATTACCGACGATCTCGTAATCGAGGCAACCACGCGACTACAAACGACATTATCGTCGCGTGTCCACAATATTTTTTCGAAAAATCGGTCGATCGGTTTTGTTCAATATCAGTAAATCAATTTAATGAAAATCACAGTGTATAAGCGGTGGAAGAATTTCTTAATCGATTACGGAAAAAATTACGGTGCGTGTTCAAGTGATCGTGCAAGTCATTGCAAGAAATAGGTTAATAGTGTGCCGCGCGAGCGAAAGCGCATTTGAAGATTGAGCAAAACAGGTGGATCGTTTCATCGAATGAAAAGTGATCATTTGAATACGAGAAAGATCGATAAAAGATAATTTGGCAATGATGATGGATAAGATTCGTCAAATTCGTGCCGCGTATTATCGTGAGGCATTACATAACCGCTACACAACAATGAAAAATTATTTCGGGCAGTATATCGGCAAAGGGTCGATAAAAATGAGAGCCACGAATGCGGTTTCTTAAATAGCGCAATAGTTGAATCTCTCTGTGCCTGACAATAAATCAATGGTTTGCTAGGTATGCAATTAGATTAATTAAATTGTGGATATATATATATATAGTATTTTCAATTTGTTTCTGAAATAAATAGCTGAAATAAATAAATGAATATTTATGCTACTAACACGATAAAAGTAACTAGATGAAATATAGTATAAAATTTAAATTACATTACGATTAATACGAAGTTAAATAACGAAGTTAATTGAAATCGATGTAAAACGATACACCGTTTTGTTAAATAAGTGAGATCGAAGTAGTAGAATATATTTTCTATCAGTGATAGTATTTATTTTAAAGTGATATATCGTGAAACATTGATTTGCTCAACTACTTTTACACGAGGCAATTAGTAAGAAGTTTCTTGTGGAACACCGATAATCATAGGGACAAAAACTGCGAGCGGCAGGAGGAGGCGAAGCCTCCCGCCGCAAAAACAATGTCGTAAGTATTGTCACATTATACTTAAAAATTAATAATTAATTTACGATAAATTTTTCCATATATTATTATACACGTAATAGTATAATTAAAATATAAAATTTTATTATATTAAATTTTATTATATTAAAACCATAGAATTGAAATTAAGAAATAGTGATTTATTGAAGAAACAATTTAGTTTATTTTTAAAATATTATAATTTAAAATAATCGCTTTAATATTTAATTCCATTTTGAAATGTTTATTTTTATTTTTTGAAATATAAAGATACTCCATAATTGAATAATTTAAATAGAAAAAAATAAGATAAATTTAATAACACTTTATAATCCATTGTTTTTGTTAATAACTTTTCAATCATGCAAATAATTAATTCAGCATTTCAAGATTAAAAATTTTTCAACAGGATTAAGTTAACAATTTTTTATCACTTTTCATAACTTAATCACTGATTGTAAGTTTCATAAAATTGATCTTTATAGAGAATTTTGAAGAGTACGAAATTCAATAGCAAACGATTTCAAAATTGTACGATCGTACGGAACCAATCTACTACAATAAAAATGATGTTAGATATATTGAACATAAAAGGAATCGTTCTAAAGATGTGAAAATTGATATCGAATGTATCGGATAGATGATATAGAATTTAATATAGAATTTACTGACCGATTCATAAAAATTCTATTATAGTTATATTATAGTTATTATATATTAGTCTATTATCTATATAATTGAATTATGATTATATCATCTTAATATGTATCTAAATCTAATATATTTTAAGATCATTATGAGATCCTAATACTTAGTTGAACATAAGGATACTTGAACATTAATAAATTAAATAATTCTCCAATTTATCTAAGAATTCTGATTCTGTCCAAAAGATCTGATCACACAACTATGCTCGGAATGACGAAATGCATACTGGAGTACCACAGGACTTTGGAATTTACTACAGACTATTTCAAATTACATTCATAAGTTGAGAAACTAACCACAACATACCTTGAGGTTATGCAACACTAACAAATATGATCTTTAAATCTTGAAATTCAATTTGGATCATCTTTGATCCTTGATTATTGAAAAGATTTTGAAATCATAGAAAACGTTCTAAAAAGATGTTAGAAGATCTTTTGGATTAACATTTTAATCCTAATTGTTGAATGTTATTTTAATCCTAATTTTCCCAAACTTAGAATCATGAAATTCATTTGAATTTTAAAAACTTTTTAATACTCGCATAATACTAATTCGTACTCTTCAAATACAATTAATGAACAGATTATATGTTTGTGAACACTTTTGTTTAGAATCTTCAATTGAAATATTCTTTTTAATATCATGTAGTTAACAAAGTTAGAATAATTAATTTCTTAGAACTTAAAACTAATCCAGATGAGAATTATGATCTTGGGGTAAAGAAAAATAAACTACAAAATTTGATGCACAAGAACATAACTATGGAATCAAAGTGAAAAGTCTTTTAAACGTATTTTAAATTTTAAAAATTTTTATTTCATAAAATTTTATTTAAATATTTAGTTTCAATATCGAAGAATTATAATATTTCATATTCTTTTGAATATCAAAAGCTAATATTATATCATTGATAGAATTAGAATAGTTGATCTTCTAGAATTTAAAATTAATTTAAATGGATTCATAGTTTCAAATTGCTGATGCTCAAATTGCAAAATTTGAAAATACAACGAAATGGATATCATGGCTTTAAAATTGAAATGGAGGATCGTTTAGATTTCAAAACAATTTATAAAATTGCCTTTATGGTCCCTTATGGTCCCTTAGACCTTACATTAGGATAATCCGAAAAAGATCTGGAATTAGGAAGATCTTTTAGATCTTAAGATAGTCTGAAACGCGTTTCATGTTCTTCCATGCTCCTGGATCTTATATTAGATCTTAATTCGAAAAAGGTCCTGCTATTCCACGAGGATTATTATTCTGTTAAAATACAAGATATCTTTCGTCTTAGATTAATGTGATGGAACTTTTATATATAAAATCTTTTCAATTAAATTATTTTAAAAATATATTTCTAATTTTGTTATTTTATTATTTTTGTAATTTTTTTTTTTTCTAAATTTTACTAATTGCTGAATATATAAATGTAAAATGATTTAAAAATTAAATTTATTTTTGTGAATTAAATACAAATATATTCAACATTATAAATAAATATAGATATACAAAAAGAAATATTAATTCAATTGTATGTGTTAAATAAAAAAAATAGTACATACATAATAAATTAAGACAATAGCAAAATCTCAGAGAAGTATAAATTAAAATCAAATTTTTGATTTTTTTCAAATTGACCACTATTTTATTTATTTATTTATTTATTTTTTAGTTATCTTTAAATAAATTTTAGGAATTCTATTTAATAATTTTTTTTTATTTAAAATATTTGTCATTAAATATATTATAAATAATAATTTTTATAATACTTTCAAAGATCTTTTATTTCAAGCAAAAATATAATCACTTTTAAACTTTTGAACAATAATATATATGAATCCATAAATATATTCCGTGTATTATATTGCTTTTTACTGCAAAAATAATCATATCGAAAAAGTTTCGAAGTTTAAAATTATTTCTTGGAAAAGTGTCCCGAATCCGAGTTCTTTTCCATCGAATGTTTTAATGTATGCGTCGACTCTTATTGATCCAAATATAAAAGTATCAAGCTCTAAATGTCTTCTATTACATCGAATTGTAATATATTTTTTTTAAATTCTCTTGAATAAAATATGTATATCGAATTTTATAAAACTATAGTCTTCAACTTCATCTTAAATTATAATTTATGAAAATATTAATATAAAGAGATTCCAAGTTTATACTACAGAAATATTATAATTGAAGACCTTTACTATTTTCAATCTTCACTGGCTTAAATTTGATTTTATTATCTTTACACGTTTTCAAATAGATTATTATAATACCATGTAGTTTTAGTTTTTTTTTTTAAGTCTCATGCGCAGATTGTTTGTTTTTTAATTTTTAATGTAAAAAAGTTTAAATTATTATATTTTTTTATTATTACATTTTATTGTTTTTAATTCCTCTTTTAAATATTTATAATTATTATAAAAAAAATTATATAATTATATAATTTTATGAAGTTTTTCTTCTAATAATTTGTAATTATAACTTGTAATGTAATAATTTATTTTTTTTCATAATGATTCCAATTTTAATTAAGATCAAAGATTCATAATTTATTTCATTATCAATAATATTCGAAATTAATGTAATTAATGTAAAATTAAACCTGAGATATAACGAAACATCTAAAGCAACAGAATAATTAATGCAAGGTAATTAGTTTAAATTAGTTAATTACACATATACGTTTAATCTAACTATTTAATTACAATTAAATTTCGTTAATGCAACATTTATCTTATTGAGTTCAATGAAATTTTTTGATTCATCTTTCACAGATTAAAATTACAATTACAATTTAACATTTCACTAATGAATATGAATTTTCTCGATTATTTCTATTAAAATTGATTTTTAACTCTTAATACAAAAATTCTTAAATAACTTTTAAGATAATAATAATTAATCCTATATTAAATAATTAATCCTAATTTAATATTTAATAACAAATTTAAAAATTTTCTCTTGAAATATACCTTATTATTTTTAGAATAAATTTTATTTAAAGCATTATTGGAAAAAATTGTGAATAAAAATAACGCTCTAAAAAATGTTAAAAATAATATAAAAATTTAGTTACTTGCGAAAAAAGCATGGAAGAGGATCGAGATTTCAATGGAATTTTATTCTACTTTACTTATAGACTTATATATGTATGTGTGTATATATACATATATATATGTAAATACGATATGCTGCACGTCAAAAAGCCTGCAACTCTGAAAGCAATCCTTTAAAACTTTAGAAAAATGTAGAAACTAGAAATGACTTTATATATGCATGGTAAAGCGATATAAAATTATATTATTTTTTTGAAAAGGCATAAAAATCAAAATAAAATCAACGAATATGAAATATGAAAATAATTAATCTTATAGAATATTTTTTTAAATTTTATTTCAATATCATTTATTATTTATTATAGTATCTTTCAATCATGAATTCAATTTTCTGCAAACTTCAATTTAATTGCAAACTTTACAAAAAAAAAAAAAAAAAAAAACAATTTATTAATCGTTTTTTTAATTTTTTTTTAATATCATTTTTTATTTTTTTTAATTTCTTTCAAAAATTAATTCAAATTTCTCCAAAATTCAAATTTAATGCAAAAATTAAAAAAAAAAAAAAAAAAAATACAATTCTTTAATCGTACTTTTCATAATTTTTTTACCATAATTTCAATATTCGATTTTCTAACTTTTAAAAAAATTTTATGTAAAAATTATAAAAAAAATTTTCTATTTTTCGATGACAATAATCATAAAATGATTAAAATCCTTAAACACCGATATTCTTTATAAAAAATATAGAATCGTCTAACAATCTGTCAATCTTTCAAACCTAACCTCAATTTTGCAATTGCAAATTTCATATATAAAAATTAAAAGAATTTTTATTTCTAAACTTTCCAATTACAAAATCTTGAAACACTTTATTTTCCATCTACAAATTTTATATAAGAAATAAAAAAAAAATATACAACTACTAAATATACAAATACTAAAAACTACCTTTATAAAGAACTCTTATTCCTTAATAATTCTACAATCTCACATCCAATTTTTCAATTATAAATTCCTCAAAAAAAAAAAAAATAAATAAATAAATAAATTAAAAAAAGGGAAAAAGAAAAAATTCACCTTTTTGATTTTTTCGTTATAAAATAATCGTCTGGACGCGGCGTCTGGACGAATTGAAAGGCTGCGTATAGCACACGCGTCAATCAGCATCGGTGATCGCTCCTTGGCCGTAAGCTCGAGAGAGCAGCGATGCCAGTCGGGCTACGAGCTTCGACCGCGAAGCTCGCCCCTCCTCACAGGTACGATAGTCTGTGTTCATGCCTCGACCCGTGGTAATCGCGCGTTCACCTCGATGGACCGCGGGAGAAAAGAGAACGACCTGCACTCTAAGCCGACTTTATATGGCAACAAACGCCTTCTTGGTAATCTGTTTTCTGAAAAAAAAAAAAAGATAAATAAAGGATAATCTGTGAATTTTATTGCAATTTTTGTTATACTTGATCTTTATTGAATGCTTGTAGGTTATATTAATCGCATAGTATAAATATATCATGGAATAGATTTCATTAAATGATTGAGATTTTGAATATTTTGAAAAATAGTTTCAATTTGTTTTATAAATTAATTATAAGAATATAATTATTGTGTGATGATATTTATTTTTGTTTCTGTTTTTGTTTTTGTTTTTTTCTTTTTGTTAGAATTATTTTTTAGGTTAAGTTTTACCGAATAATGATAATCGAAGAAATGGTTTTCATTTAAATTTTGAATTGCTAGCAAGCAAAATTGTTCCATTGTGATATTTAAAAATTAAATTTTGTTCAATAAACAATGATAATAGTGATACTTTGTAATTTTTTTTAAATGTTTTCATTTTTCAATCGATTTTTAATACTTTTATTTTATGTTGTTATTATTTCTCAATTAAGGATAATTTTCACCAAGTTGATTGAAATTATTTACATTTCAACTACAAGTTCAATATTTTTTATTTTATTAAAATTTCATTATTATTGAAAATATTCATTAATGTTTTCTTCAGTAAATTTGATTTATTAATTTATCATTAAAATATTTGATTTAAGTTAATTTATTATTAAATATTTGTTTTGAAATGAAATTTAATTGGTTACAGTTAGCGAAATTTATATATTTATTCAGATAAATAAAATACTAGATTTAATCGCACATTGAAAATTTTCAAGTCAGTATTTTCAAATGTAAACATCAAGTTGTGTGAAACACGAATCTCTCCCTCGTTGATAATGAAGTAAAATGGAGGGAAAGCACATGGCGTACGAAATTTATTTAAAATTCAATTTTCCTGGAAAATTTCATATATGAAACGCGAACGTGCCCAAGAAGTGTGCAAATAACTTAGCGGTTTCGAAAATATAGAAGTTCGACGTGGAAAATTATATTACTTGTATTCAGATCAGCTATTTCTCCGATAAATATTATTTTTATTTATACATGACGATTAAATTTGCTTGTTCGATGAATTAATAATAATGATAAAAAAAAAAAGAAAACAAAAAGAAAGAAAAAAGATAAAAGTAAAAATACCGATTTTAATCAAATAAATTTATATACGAGCGAATTAATGGAATTAATAAATATATTTATGATATTAAAATATGCTATGAAGCTTGATTAAAAACTTTTGTTGAATAATTGAAAAAATTAATTTTATTCTCTTCTGTTTTATTCTTTGAAAATTATTAAAAATTATTATTCTGATTGGATATTATATAATCGTGGATTTATTAATATTTTTTTTCTTTTCGAAACATTTTAAATTTGATTAAAAGTTTGAAAATAATAAAGAATTATAAATAAAAAATTATGTATTAACATTACATAACTTTTTATTAAAATTGATGGATCTGAGTTCAGAAAAATTCCAGTCTCGAAAAAATTATAATTTTATCGAGAAAATTCAACTAATTATGATTAATTACTATTTTAAACGAGCAAATATTTATAAATTATCTAATATTTTTGCATTTATCAAATTATTATTTATTATATTAAAATACTTTTAAAATCATCAAGGATATCATAAAATTCATAACCTAAAAAATTTCATTTATATTTTTTAAAAAATAAGTTCACCAAGAATAGATTTTTCCATGAATAAACGAGAATTTTCTTTATTCCTTACGATTTATTGAATTTTTCATTATAAACGTAGTTAAATATAAAAAATGCATAAACTGCATCAGTTCAAAACAAATGCAATAATCGAAATAAAATTCCATTCGTTAATCATTAAATAAAAAAAAATCGATATAAAAGTTGATAATAAAAAAAAAATGAATAAGAAAAAATTTAATCGAACTCTTTTGTGGCAAAGAAACGAGTTTTGTGTAGACATCTAAACGAAATGAGTTTGAAAGGAAATTATCCGTATCGTGCTCGAAGTTTAAACTTGAATAAAAATAAATTTAAATAATAATCTCTCATAAAAAAAATCGCTTTAGCGAATGGAAAAAACATACTTACTCGTTTAAATAATCGATTATCGTTCAATTGGCTATCGTTGTTTAATCAAAAGTCGTGAATATTTCTCATGAGGATAAAGTAAACGTCGATTATCCGCCATTTCAAACGAAAAATTAAACGTTCTGAATTGAGATGTGAAAGCAATATCGAGAAATATATATATAATTGTATATGTTGCGTGCAACGACATCTATATGTGATAAATGAAGAGGAATCTATGTGAATGCAATTATTTGAAAATCGTTGTAATGGCGGTAAATTTGATTTTTAAAATATTGCATTAATAGTTATTGTATTTTTTTTTAATAAAAAAGAAAAGAATATTTAAATTATTTAACTTATATAAATATAATTTTCAATATATATTTTCTCAAATTATAATAATTGTAAAATAATATTAAAGATAAGTTTAGAAAAATTTAATTCATGTTATATATATTTATTTACACAATTTATGTTTTATTTAGAATACTTTCTATAAAGTAGAGGGTGGTGTATATCAGTTTTCAAGGCAATCAATCTCAAATTTCTGGAGGCTTTAAATTGATATCTAAATTTAGATCACCGAAATCGCTTAGAAAAGCAATATCAAATTCAAGAGAAAATAGTAACTAGTAAAAACTGTCTAATTTTCAATAATCAAAAATTATATCAAGAATTATATCAATAGTAATGAATAATACTTAATTTTTATATTTTGTAATATAACATATGAATAGAATTTTAAAACAATTATAACAAGGATTGAACTATGTTAAAAAATGATGTTAAAAAAATTTCCTTTAAGTTAGCTTAGGTTAGGTTATTTACATTATACATATAAAATAAATTATAAAAAAAAAAGAAGATAAAATTATTTTTGTAACATTTATAGTTCTTGTTAAAAATTTAGATAACTATTAATTGCTTAAAAAATTTATGGAATAAAGATATCCTGAACATCTTTGTTTCCTTTAAAATGAAACTTATTCCTACCAAGAAACTTTCGTAACGATAATAGAATTCCATCGCTCCGCTTATACAGATTATCATGGAACAGTGGATAATGCTTCGAGAGCAGCAAAAATATAATTATTTTTGACATCAACGTGTTCCCGGAACTAGTATTGGTTAGAAATCTTTCGAAACTTTAAAAGCTGTCTTAAATCGTTCTGTCATTTTTTCTTTAACAAAAATAATAATAATAATAATAATAATAATAATAATAATAACAATAATTAAAAATTGTCGCAGAAATTTATTCTCATTTCATATTTAAAAATTTAATTTCTCGAACGTTAAATTTCATCACCAGGGAATTATTATATGTTTTCATAGAGATTTATTATTTCCATTTTTTTTTTATATTCGTTAAATCATATTTTTTAATTTTAATATTCCCCTCGAGTTAAAAAAAATCGAAATTTCATTTTTAGAGAAAAACTTTTTTGTTACTCAAAAAAAAGTAGAATGAATTTTTTTCACTTTCAGATATTAGGTAAAAATAATGTAAATGGATAAAATCACCATATAATTTAATGAAAAATCTTGAATATTATAATAAGTGACCGACAAGATGAATTTACTATTCTGATCACTGATTTTAACATTCAAAAGGAGGAAAAAGGGGGAGAAAAATCTTTGTACGTCACACGTAAAAATATTCGTCTCATTCATGAATAATAAATTTCAACGGAAAAGTTCCAAGGTGGATGAAAAATAATCCAGAGTCGATTTCGATATCAGTGGAAAAATATCTAGCTTTTTATATTCACTTTTATCGAATTATCATACATCCCTCTCGTCGTCGAATTTTTATAACTTCATGAAATTATTGATATATTGTAACATTAGAATGATAACTAGATTCGACAATTTTATTTTATTTTATTGCAAATTTCAATTTATCGCGATATTTTATTGTAAATAATGATAAATATGAGAAAATTTATTTTTATAACGATAAATGTCAGAATTAAATTTTAGAATTAATATATGTAAAGGAGATAGAAAATATTGTGAACCAATCATGTTTGAAGCTAATTATGAATTATAAATTACATATATCCATATTCATTTGCTTATTAATGAATTGCAATATTGTACTTTGTCAGTACATTATTTTATTAGTAAATAATTTACTTGTAATTATTCTGCTCAATTATAGAGAAAAGCAAATATCTACATAATATAATTAATCGATATATAATATAATTTGAAGAAACAATTAAAAATTCATTTTGTCAATTTTTTTTATAATTACTTTATAACATATTTCTCCATAACTTGTTATTAAATTTTCAGGAAAATTTATCCAAAGAATTGATAATAAAAATCTTACAATCTACTTATCGAAAGATATAAAACAACTTTAAATATAATTTCTCGTAAAGGATAATTTTATAAACAAAATTTCTATCTCGTATGTTAGATTTCGAAGATACATATTGTACAAATGGTTCGTAGAACTCGATCTGGATTACTTGGAAAGGAGAGGAGGCGAGACAATAACTTGTGAAAACGCCGAAAGCGGATCGAAAGAGGAGGAAAGCCCCGCAGACACTCTGGATCGTGTCAAAGTTGTGTTTCTCGGTGCACCCAGGGTGGGAAAGTCCAGCATAATTAGGGTGAGCGCTAATTTCGTTTAATCAAATCAAAACACATCGATATTGAACATTTCGAATTATATCGCGTATCTGAAATATTTCATATATTAACATAAAATTAATCATCTTAATTTTGAAAGCAATTCCGTTTCGAATCTCTAATTATAATTTCACATCAATCGAAATTTTATCTTAAATTTAATTTTGTTATATTTTTATTACATTTTATTATAAATAAAAATAACAATTTGTCAATAAAAATTATTCATTAGAATTTTAAGTTATCTGAGAAATGCTGGGACTTCTTGACACATATGTGTATATATATACATAAAACAATTCATTCAAATCTTCATATTAGAATTTTACATTTAAAGGATACATGCACATATACACGTGTAATTTCTTCATTCGTTTCATTCCTCAAACACACCTTCTCAATTAAAGCGTAATTTCCTTGAATACACGTCAAACGTTTGCCAGTTCAAACTTTCGGTTTGACAAGAAATCGTCAAAATGCACCTCGTCGTTGGATTACCATTCGTAGCCTTTGCCTCGACAAGGTTGGAATAAATGAAGTACATGTATATCTCGAGATCTACAGAGAAGGAGTAACGTAGCGTAAGTTAATAAGCAAGCACGCAACACGACTATTGTGTAATTAAACGAGGCGAATACTGCACATCCGTAAGATATTTATTGTGCCATCCCACTTAACAAACCTAACCTCTCCTCGCTAATGAAAATATTAGCTGGTATTCGCTCAGCTACCTGTAATTTTCTGTAGCTGATTCTGACACTCTTTTTTTTCTTTTTTTTTTTTTTTTT